TATCGATACTATTTTTAAGTAGGTTTATTTATTTTTTAAGCATTCATAAGTATACTCTTAAGGAATTAGGTGCTAATAATATCATGATAAGCACCAAGTCCTTCATTTATATTATTTTTAACAATTTTTTTTATATCTGTCTTTTTTATATAGTTTCTTATTTCTGTTTTGCTGGTATCAGAATAGTTTATAATATTTTTGAGTAGTTTTATTTATCATTTAAGCATTCATATGCATACTATTAAACTTTAATTCACTTGCTTAGCATTTAACAGTTTTAGAAGAATACTTTATAGTTTAATTATAAGCTGTAATAATTTGATGCGATATATATATATGTTCTAATACACAAATATCAACATACACATGCTTATCTTGTACATTTGATAAGTGTTCAAATCAATTTTAATCTTTAAAAAATCCAGACAGCTATCTGATACAATTGGGGTTTGATATTATAATCGACTATTTCTGATGTTTAGCTATGCCACATATTCCATGCTTTTTAAAAATTTCCTTCTCCAACTTATAATAGCCATTAATGCCCTATCGTTTTCCCATAAATTCTTTACATTTCCAGTATGACACCCCACAAATATCAGTATCATAGCCGACTATCAACACTGCATGATTAAGCTAGATCCTACATCCTGACACCCCAAACTGTTCATTTATGATTTTCTAAAATCATAGAAAAATTTTCAATAATTTATTATAAAAAAACTAAGTATCAAATTTTAAGATTTTGATGCTTACATCATTGTGCTTCTTAAAATCATATGAGTTGGTATCGATGCTAATTGTGATTGGTTGTCTTGTGACAGTCTTCACCAACCTAATTTTGTTGCTGACCACAACTCCGCCGTAGCCATCAATCTTTGTTCTAAATTTTAGCGTTCTTTTTGTGGCCTCAAGAGACAGCATCCTCATAGATGGGCATTCGCTTCCTATCGTAACTCCATATTGTGTTACAAACCTAAGAACCATTTTGTTACCCCTTGTCCCTGCCTTCACAAATCCTCTTTCTAATTTCTTGGCAATGATCAATCACATATTGAGGGGTAAGCTTAATCAATCTTTCAGTTTTTATTTTTATTGTCCATGCTAGTTTGTAAGACCACGATTGATCCAAAAATGAATAAATGGATGAAAAAAGCAGCATGTCGTATTAATGAAGAATTCTAAGAATATTTCATTGTTATTGGATCAAACCCAAATTTGTGTTTGAATTCTTAGATTGTAACTAAAAAAAAGTCACAGTTGAGTTAAATTAATAAATAGATAAAGTTTGGTGGCTCCAATTATAAGGAAACAAAAAAGAACATGTTTTCATTTTGAATTTGAATGATTACCCCATCTAATTATATATTAAAAATCAAAATATTGGTACTTGAAGTGAGAAAAGTTTTTAATTGACGCAAATCATTTAAAAAAGTATTTTAAAAAAATCAATATGTATTTTTGATAAATAACTAATTTAACTAATTCTTTTAAACTATCTAAATTAATTATTTCTTATATTAAAAATCAGATTTAGTATTATAGTCACCAAATTCTCGATGAAGAAACTGTCTCTATTTAGTGATAACAGCAGAAAACAATGTAACGGAATCAAGCCGGATAAGCAGAATAATCCATACATACTAAAAAGTGGATTTGAGTATCACTACTTTGATCTGCAAATACATTCCCCAATATCCATATTTTCAGATCACAAATATATTATTTATTATATATTCAAACAAATGGCTCATATTCAAATGCAAATATGCACAGGACAGCTTATATTCCCAGATTTTGAATATATTCAAGTCCATCCTTCATCGAATCAGATTCTTTCCCATTGTCCTTCACACGTTCGCAAGGTTTTGTGCGTTGTATACTGTAAAATTGGCCTTTAGAATTATCTGGGGAGAAAATTCAACAATAGGAATAAAAAGAGCTAATTCATTTTGTGACATAATTGCTATGGAATTAGTAACAGATTTGTGGCGTTCAATGAATTGCTTTATTGTACAACTACATAAGCATCTCGAAGGAGGAAGCTTGAAGGAATTTTGTGTTTCATTTGGTCCATTTTGTTTTGCATTTATTAAAAAAAATCAGTCATAACAATTTTTTTAAATGTGATAGAACTGAGATTAATTTTCATCTTTAAAAATTTTTTTACATATGTTTCTTCTTCTATTTCATTTCATTATGTATATCAAACAATTGTTTAATTTGTTTCTTTGGGGCACTCGAAGGACCTCCCTGTCAACTAAATTTGGTCTGTACATAGATGTTGGTAATTAAATTCCTATTAATTACTGTTTCTATTTTAGTTTACTAGACGTTTTCTGAAGCAAATTGCGAAGTTTGTTGGTCTCATGAAATAATTCATTGAACAATAATTCAGTAATTCATAATCAATTCACACTTAGATAATGAAGGATATTTTAGAAATAAGGTCATTAATAAATTACTATCTTCTCATATTATATTATAAAAATCATTCCAAAAAGTTATCTTATAAATCGAAAATAGAGGGAGCATGGGTGATGGTAGTCTTACCATTCACATTAACCTTAGTTGATTTTGAATTCTTTTTTTTAAGGTAACAAGTTGTATTATTTATAAGGCGTAAATAATATAATTAATTAATTTGTTGGCAAAAGAAAAACTAATTAATTAAGTTCATTTGGATTCGCAAGACCAGAACAGGGCTTATTATTCTTTGCTTCGCTGGTAAGAAGGAAGCGCCGTCCCTTTCTCTTTATAGAATTCCCAGAGACAGTTAGTTCAACTGTTCATATCCAAGCAAAGCTCCAGAGATTCTTTCTTTATTTTTCTTGAGTATAAATAAAATTGAACCCCAAATCTCTCTTAAAATTTGCTGCCCGCCACTATTATTCTCTCTGTTTTGTCCTTTTTGACCCTCTTTTCTTCTCCCAAACAAATGAAACCAAATGCTTGCTTCTTTTTTTTTTTTTTAACTTAGAGTCAGTCAGGACACAAAACAATTTAAATAACTACTACCTCTTATTCCTATTATAAAATTTAAATAACTAATTTCTGTGTAACAAAAAATTAGTTAAAAATAAAAAAAAATAAGTTAGTAATATATTTTTGTTTTCAAATATACTAAAAAATTAAAAAAATGTATTAGGGAAATAAGACAGAATAAATAATTAAGAGTAATATTAGGGGAAAAAAATACTCTTCTCGTCTTAAATATAAAATTTAAAATGAGTTTTATGTCTAGAACTGAAAAAAGTATTCAATATTGAAACAAATACAGATTATAAATTATAAATAGATCACACCTCTTCTTAAACTTAATTTTTTTTTTGGCCTTGCTTCTTAAATTTAAATTTAAAGCTTATAATGAAGTAAATAAATACGTGGAGTCGACGTGAGAAGCGGATCATGCACTGATCAGCTTCGCAGCTTTGTGACCCAAACAGCACATATTTGCAAAAAGGAACAGAATTTGGGGGTGGGAATGCGTGCTTCTTTGGACTTATAATATACTAAAAACTATATCGCACCTCTCTCTGTCTCTCTCCGTTTATTCTTTGATTCCATTCCCCTTTTCCCAGCTTAAAACCCATTAATAATAAAAGAAAATTTAAATAAAAAAAGTAAAATTAGTTTTTTTAAGAAAGAAAAAGCAAAAAAGATGTCTATTTGTTTCCCTAAACGTCGTTTTTGCTTAATCGTCTATGTTGAAACTATTTTTAAAAAAATACTTGACATTATCGATAGGAATCGTTTGAGGAAAATATTATAAATTTTTATGAATAAGGAAAATTAAAATCTTGTGTTCACAATTAAATTAGATATCATAATTAATTAGCTTTCTGTAATTTTCTCTGTTGTTGGGTATGTGCGTAAGCGTAACCTTTAAGAGAATCTAGAGCGAGCCCCAAAGAATCCGAACAATGCGTGATAGATGTTACGTAGAGATAAGAAAAGCACCCCAAAACTTCGATTACTATATTTAAATCTATTGAAGGAAATAATAAAATGTATTCTTTTCTTAATTTTTGTGGTTAAAAGATTATTGATTATCCAGAAATCTGCAAGACTAAAGTGATTGATCAAGTCCTGTCTTTTAATAAATATATGAATTCGATTAATTAACCGCACCTCCCGAGTCCAAATCAAAAGCTAGCGTTGCCATTCCAAAAGGCAAAACACGACCAATTCCTACGCTAAATTTGTCCCCTCTTGCATTTTCCCTCAAATTTTCAAATCTGTCCTTTTTATTATTCCTTCTCTTGTGTCGACCACTTCCATGTTTTTCGAGTTAAATTAGTCTGCAATTCCCAAGCCTTCTTTCAATTTTATTCACACTTTTTATTGTTTTCGAGAAGCTCTTCATGTGTTGTTTTAATGGTTCTCAAACTTTCTAAACTCATCCTTCTCTTCTTTTTTCTTTTTCTTTTTTTGCCAACTTTTTGTGGGAAAAAATTTAGTCTTTCACAAAGACCAAAAAACACAAGTGACATAACCGAAATCCCAACCTTAGTATGCCATGTTTTTAGTTTTTTACTTGTATGAGAAATTACTTATTATATGAAATTGAATAAATTTATATATGTTGAATTAAAAAATACCATAAAAAGAGATAGTATTTCTCACACCTAACTCGAAGGACAAGACCTTTTTAACGAAGCTTTAACACCCCAATCAACTACTAAATTTGCTTTACTGAAAATCAACAGAAAGAAGTAGTTTCTAATGCTGTCAAGATATTGTATTGATAAGTTATTAATACTATTATTTGGGGTTAGCAAAAAAAAATGAATTAAAATTTTATTATATGATTTTTTATCATAGACCATGACTGCATGCTATGTAGGATCTAGTCAGACTGAAAGCACTTAGGTAGAGAGGCGGGAATAGGGATGTCATTCTGTTCGAAGACGGAAAGCAAATTGGGAGCCAACCAGGCAGAGGCAAAAAGCGCGGAATTTGCTTCACATTCTCCGCAACTTTTCCCATTATTTCTTCTTCCCCTTTTATGCTTTTTCTTAACCTCGAAGACTTCTTCCTCTTCTTCTCTCTCAAATATTCTGTGCCTCAGAAACCTAGACCCCGCTTACCAGCTTTCCTCTGGTTTCTCATCAATGGCAGCCTCAATCCCCACCATCATACACCACAAGCTCAATGCTGAACCAATCAAAGAAGACCCAAGTAAGTTTTATTATCATCTTCTCTACAAAGCTCTCATCCTCGCCATCTTAATCATTCTTCCCTTTTTCCCTGCCCAAGCTCCTGAATTTATCAACCAGTCTCTTCTTACCAGAAACTGGGAGCTTTTTCACCTCCTATTCGTCGGTATTGCCATTTCTTATGGTTTGTTTTGCCGTCGCAGCGACGGGACCGACAAGGAAAATCATAACTCCAAGTTCGACACAGCACAGTCTTATGTTTCTAGGTTTCTTCCGGTGTCGTCTTTCTTTGAAGATGATGGAGAAAATGAAACCCCGTCTGGTGATGACGAGGATAGCAAAACCCAGACTTGGAATAATTATCAGTACCGTAGGAATGAACCTCTTGTTGTTTTAGCCCCAAAACACTCTAATTCTTACGACCGAAATGCGACTAACACCAGAATTAGCGAAAAGCCTTTGCTTTTACCTGTTCGTAGCTTGAAATCTCGGGTTTCTGATCCTTGTCCTGTTCAGTCTGTTAATAAATCGAACCTCACCTCTGTTTCTGTTAACGGGTCTGGTTCTAAACATGGTTCTAGAAGATTTTCCAGGAATGCAGAAATCGAAGGTTCTGGCGGTCGTCCAACAATGGAGGATAGGTCGAAGGACAACGTTGTACTTCCTTCTCCAATCCCATGGCGATCTGAATCTCTCATGAAGCTCCAGAATTCTCGTTTGTCTCGACCAAATCCCATGTCTTCGTCAACATCTCTGTCTTCCCCAAAGCCAAAGGATCAATCTTTATCATCACCTTCGTTTGCATCAGAATCACTGGCCAAGAATTCAGAGGACACGGTGATCAAGAACAAGGTGTTTTACAAGTCCGCAATTCCTCCTCCTCCTCCACCCCCACCAATGCTTTTCAAATCAATCTCCATGAAACCAAGAACTAGCTCGTTGAATCAAGCAGTTTCCTCTGATAAGGACATGAAGCGAAGCTTCACAACAAGTGAGAGAAGAGATAAGCCAAGAGGTCTCCATTTTGAAAATAACAATATGAGAAACCCACTGGAAGCTGAAGGAGAAGTTAAGAGAATGGCTTCTGTGGGATTTGCAGAGGAAGAGAAAGTGATCATGGGGTTCGATGAAGACACAGAAACTGAAGATGAAGGTGGTGGTGATGAAGCAGGACGAAGCAGAATTGAGAAAGACAAAGCAGAGAATCAACCTAATAATGAAGAGAATCCAAAAATTGACCAAGGAACCGGTGGTATTGGAGAGGAAGGACCAGATGTGGACAAGAAAGCTGATGAGTTCATAGCCAAATTCAGAGAGCAAATCAGGCTTCAGAGAATTGACTCTATCAAGAGGAGTGCAAATCGAATGGCCAGAAATTCTTCAAGGTAAAAGTGGGGGGGGGGGGGAATGAAAAAATAACTGTTAGAAGAAACTTATTTGCGTTATAATTATTAACTTTCTACCAATTGGTAGAGGATGAAAATGAAGGGGATGTTTTGTTGGCCACAGATAAGAAAGACTTGTATCGTAATAGTGACGTATAGAAGGATGATATTTACCCATTTTAACTGCATTTTCGCAGGTAAAAATACTTGATGTTGCATGAACTTTATGCTTTTTAACTTGTCAAGCTTAATCCAAAATGGAACATGCAATATCATTCAGAGAGGCTCTTCCTGATCGCTGAGAGCAGTAATGAAATTTTACGTTATTTCTTTGTGGAGAGGGTTTTGTGTGATTACTATTCCGCGTTATGTGATTGTGATGTTTCATAATCCAACTAAGTTAACTAATATCTTTTATCAAAAGAAAAATAAAAAAAACTTGTGAAGAGTAGCTGTATGTATCTAGCTGATACCGTTTATGTTGTTTGTGATGATCCATATTGGTGATGGATGACTGATGAGATTGGTGCTCATCATTGGTTAATAGGAAGACAAGCTTTGGCATATGATTGCTTGTAATGAAATATATAATACCTTCTACAAATTATAAGCTATGTTTGGGATGGCCTTTCAACCATCCCAAAATGACTTCTTAGGTTTAAAATTCATCAAGCCCATTTTTTAATGTTTGGCGCTGAACATGACAAACCAAATCATGATTTGAAAAATAAATTTTGTGAAAAAATAATTTTGACAAAATGAGAATGTTTAGATAGTTATTATCAGAATTCAGAAGTACTTTTTATATGTGTAAATTACTAAAAAAAAAAATAAATTAATATGATAATTATATAAAAGATAGATTTTATAATATATTTTTATTTGAAGTAATAAATTTGTTAATAATATATTTTTTGCCAACATAATAAATATTATATAAAAAATGTGATTAATAAATAGTTAATATGTATATATGTATTTATAAAATATAAGATTGAATATGTTTTTAGAAAAATGATTATTTTGTTTGCCAACAAAAAAATATTATTTTGCCTTAAAGATTTTAAACATAAAATCCCATGACATTTTTTCACAACTAATTTTTTTAACAACATATTACCTTCGATCTTTAATATAAGAGTTATTTTAATATTTAATTTGATCCTAAATATAAAATCTTAATTTATTTTGTTTCTCATATTTATCCATTTTTTCAAAATGGTCCTTGTAGTAGTTGTACATGTTAAATATTTCATCAAATAGTACTTTTAGCTAATACATATGATTAGAAAGAGTATTTTAGAGAAGACAACACCTATTTATTACAAATTAATTAACTATCTTTTATATTAAAGACCAGAGGTAATATTACAATGTATAAAAAAAAGGATCATATTTTCAAAAAGCAATATTTTTTGCTTCTCATGAAATCATGGTTTAGGTGGGTCAAATCATGATTTTGGAGCCAAACCATGGTTTCACAAAAATATGGTGTGCTTGGTAATTTTTTTGATCAAACCATGGTTTGGGCTCCAAAAGTGATTTTGACAAATTTGCTAAACACCCTTTTAATTTTAAAGTGGCTTAGAAATCAAAATCACTTTCAAATGTTTTGTTGCTCATTTGGATCTAGTTTTATAAGCACTTTTTGTATAAGAACATGCCTAAGTACCCAACATCAATGCCATTTAAAAATATTGCCTTAATGTTCAAACAAGTTTCATGTGATGTCAAGTTGCCATTGATCAGTACCATGTGGAAGTTTTGCTTACACGAACTTCTAGGGCTATTAGTAGATGTTTAAGGGCGTGCTTGGAATGTCATTTTGGGGCCCAAACGTACATTCCAAATGAAAAAGTTGGGGTTGTGAAAAAGAGCAGCGTTTGACCCCACGTTTCGGCTTTGAGAATGACTTTTTTGTTTCAAATGAATTTCTGAAATACTACCTCCGATCCTAATTATAAAACCCAATTAATTTATTTGAGAAAATTAAAGAAGTAAGTTAAGTTAGTTATTTGTAATAAATAAGTGTTGTCATTCCTAAAATATCCTTACTAATTAAGTATATTGGCTAGAACTATCATTATTAGAAGGATTATCTTGGAAAAAAATATATAAATATGAGAGACAAAATAGATTGGAGTCTTATAATTACGACCGAATAAAAAGTCAAACAGAGTCTTATAATAAGGACCGGAGGTAGTAAGTTGATCCATCTTACTTCTTTCTGGATAAGTAGTGCAATGGATAATACCGTTAGGAGCATTAACTGCATTTTAAATTTTTTTTACCTAGCCTGACCCTCTCTTGCATGCATATTTTCTCTCATTTGTGGTTGAAAAAATCGAAAGAAAGGAGCAGAGCCCCCGAACCCAAGGAAAAAAAAACCGGACCGGACCGGCTGGTTCAACCGGAAAACCGGTGAACCGGTCCCCAGTCCGGTCTGGTTCAAAGAAAAAATCGGTCACCTATAGAACCGGTAATTAACCGGTCAAGCCGGTATTAAACCAGTCAACCGCCCGGTTTGGGCGGTTGACCGGTTTAATTTTTTCCCCACCCAATGCCCAAACGACGTCGTCCAATTTAAAAAAAAAAAAAATTTTTGCAAGCCCGGTTCAATTCCCTTCGTCCCTGTCTTCTCTCCTGGCCAGAATCCCCTTTCCATCTTCGATGAGCTCGACCGTTCTCCCTGCCCCAAATCCCTTGCATCGTCGTCGAGTTACCTTGGAGAGTGGAGACAGCGACGCGGCGATCAACCTGTAGTGGAGACGGAGGCACGGTGGTTGACCAAGATTCCCATTCCCTTCTTCGTTGAGTTCGTTCTAGTCGACCATTCTCCCTGCCCCAAATCCCTTGCAACGCCGTCGAGTTGCAATGGAGACAGCGGTGCGGTGGTCGACTTGCCGTGGAGATGGAGGCACGGTGGTTGATCTGTCGTGCGTCGTGGAGAGTCGAGACAGAGGAGGCACGGTGGTCGCCTCTCCAAATCCTGGATTTTCCTGCTTGCACGGTGGTCGCCTCTGCCTTTCGAGTTGCTTTACTAGCCGAGAGGTTTCAGGTTTGGTTATTTGAGTACTCGTTGTGGAGACGAAGGCACAGTGTTAGATGTTAGAGTTGCGTTTGATTGATTGTTTTTTGCTTCCTCCGCTCCATTGCTGTTTAGGTAATAATCAGACTTCAGAAGTGTTAGAAATTAGAAATTTAGAATGATGATTTGATGATTGAATTAAATTATATTATTTTAATATGACCGGTCCGACCCCTGGTCCGACCAGTGACCCTTAACCCACTGCCTCGACCGGTTTACTCTCCGGTCCGGTTTTTTGTTCCTTGCCCGAACCTTTATCTCCCCAGCCCCAACAAATTAGTTGCCCGATATATTTAGTTTTAAAATACTACATTTTTATGATTTCTAATTTATATATATATACTTATCCATCAAATGTATTTAATTATTTATTTTAGTATTTTTCAATTTCTTCCTAATAATAAACTGTATTCCTTTATTTTTAATAATTTTATTTTCAATACTTCTTTTCAAATGGTCACATTATATCCATATAATATTATATATGTATTACTTAATAAAATTCATATTCTTTTAAGTCATTTTGTATCTACACTTACTTTTCTATTAGTCATCCAAACAAGTTTCGGTTTCTCAAACTGATTTTTTTACAAAACTCAATCCAAACATAAATCACATTATACTATCTGACTTTTATCCAATTTGATGTCTATAAAAATCAAATTGAAAAAAAATTACTTCTGTCACCACTAATCCAAAAAACACCCTGAATAAGCTTAAAATAAGTTCATTTGCCTTTTACAAAATAATTTTTTTTACATATTAAAATTATTTTTACACAACTAATCTAATAATTAGGATTTAGAGTTTATGGTGAATTTAAAAAATTAACCTTCTAAAACGTATTTTCAAAAATATCATAGCTAATTATTTGTTTCATTTTTTTTGAATTTAAAAAAACTGATTTTAAATAAATATAATGATTCACATTTTGAAGAGAGAGAAACCTCTTAAATAAATTCCATTTCATGAACTTTGAAGATAAGTTTGTAAAAATATAAATAAATGGAAAATAAGTTGATTGATTAATTGAGGGGGAAATTTAAAGCTAATCTTGAATAACAATTTAAGATTTTTTTTTTTAGTTGCCCACCCAGTTTACCGGAGTTTTGCTCCCTCGAACCCGAGACCTCGCTTAAACAGTACCAAGCCGCTTACTACTTAGACTAATCCCTGTTGGTAACAAGTTAAGATTTTTAGTGAACCGAATAAGTGGAGTTTATCACTTTTACCAATACAATAGAGCTGGCTAGATAAAAGGCTTTGTTTGCATGAAGCCTTAAATTGCCCTTCTGGTTCCCTGATTTAAAAAATTAAAAACACACAAAAAAGAAAAGGCCTTCAAGAAAAGATATGGCAATGCTTCACCCCCTCGACCAGCCCACCGTTATTCTTATTATCGTTATGGGCCCCAAATACATTCATCCAGACTCCCAGAGGCCGCACACTAATGTGGATCACAAAAAAAAAAAAGGCCAGACACTAATTTGGATCCCAAAAACAAGTGCCAGACGCTAATTCATTTTAAATAAAATTTATCACTTTTAATACTGCTTTCAATTTCAGTATTTAATATAAAAAATACTAAAAAAATTTGAGTAAATTAAAAAATAATTAACTAAGTTAATTATTTGTAATAAATGTGGGTTGATTTTTTTAAAATAATATTTCTAATCTTGTGTATTGTATTCGTAGCTACTATGAATGGAAATTCTCTCACCATATGAAAGACAAACTAAATCTTGTATTTAGGATTGGAAGTAATATATCTTGAATAATTGGCATAGCTAATGACGTCATTTCTGGTAAATCATAAAAAATGTTTCTGGGTATGTGATTTTCCTTTATCAATAGACAGTTTTATTTGACAGAAACACCCCTTTAGACCGTAACAACGCAAGAAAGCCCAAGTCATGATAATAAGTTCAGAACCTAAACTAGTAAAGACACATAAGACCAATAAGAGTTAATTTAGTTGGTAAAAAATCGGTTTAACTCACGAGATCGTAAGTTTGAATCATGTTACCGATGTAATGATCTTGTTAGTAGGTGATCTGTAAGTATCTCTGTAAATACTCTCTGAACCTAGAGATATACCCTGACCCTAATGAACTCTCAGAACCCAACTCACTTAATTTTTTTTTTACAAAAAAAGAAAAAGAAAGACACAAATTCATTCACAGTGACATGAAAAATGGAATTACCCAGTGTTTGGTACTGAAAAAATAGAGGAAAGAAATAA